CCCCAATACTCTAGCCCCGCCTCCACAGCGGCCCCGCCCCGTGCAGAGCCCCGCCCCTGTAGAGCCACGCCCATCTGGCTTAGCCCCGCCCCGTGCAGGGCCCCTTTCTATCTGGGTCTCTGCAGGTCAGGGCCCGCCCCTCCTGCCACCTTGTTGCCCCTCTGTCCCTGCGTGGACCGGGGTTTCCGAGGCCGGAGAGGCCGCGGGAGGTGGGCAGACCCGGGAGGGACCACGGTGGAGGCGGAAGTGGCTGCAGCGGCGTGTGGGGCGGCGATGTGGTGGAGGTCCCGACAGTGCGAAGGGCGCCCCGACCTGCCCCTGCGCAGTGAGGATGGTAGACCCCAGGGGCCTCTCCCAGTCCTGGTCTCGCGGGAAGGACGGAGCTGCCCTGCTGGAAGCACTGAGGACAGCGAGTCCGTTCCGTTAAACTGTTGAAAACACTGTAAACGACATTTGCAAATCTAAAACATGACTTTTCTTTTTTAAAAATATTTTTATTGATTTCGGAGAGGAAGGAAGAGGGAGAGAGAGAAACCTCAATGATGAGAGAGAATCATTGATCGGTTGCCTCCTGCTCGCCCCCAGCTGGGGATTGAGCCGGAACCCAGGCATATGTCCTTGACTGGAATCAAACCCAGGACCCTTCAGTCCGCAGGCTGACGCTCTATCCACTGAGCCAAACAGCTAGGGCGCATGGCTTTTCTTTTAGCCTAAATTGTCCGAGGTCACAAACAAACCTCCTTGGACACTAAGTAATTCTTACACATAAAATAAACATATAAATGCAACGAACCTAACATTCTCTTTGTCTGATACTGTCCTAAAACCCAGGAAGATTTCAACTCACAAATCTAAATCAATTAATTATAACTTACCGCCCTTGGCCGGTGCTCAATGGTTAGAGCGTCGGCCCACGGACTGAAGGGTCGTGGGTTCGATTCCCAGTCAAGGGCACGCACCACATGAAGCTTCACACCTGTTCTAGCGCTGGCCGCCCTGAGGGTCCCCCACCTGGCCAGGGGAGGCTGTCCCTGCCAGGACAGAGGTCAGAAGGCCGGGGCCCACCCCTCCCCACCAGGGAATGAAGGGGTCACTTTGACTCTCCTCTCTCCTTGTCAGGGGGTCAGCAGCTTAGCGCGGGGAGCACCTGTGAGGGGCGGGCTGCTGTGGAAGGTCCGTGTGGCTGGGGAGCAGGGGTTTAGGGAAAGGAGCCTGGGAGAAACGAGGCTCCTTCAGAGGGGCCGGGCCCCCACCTGGGAGGTGAGGCTCAGAGCGGTTGGTCAGCTCCAGGACCCGCCACAACGGGGAGAAAGCCCCCCCCCAGGGGCCCACCTGGGATCTCAGTGCTTTCTCTGTGTCCCCCAGGTGTCCTCCTGCCCGCGGCCCCAGCCGCAGCCCATGAACCTGCCCTGGACGAAGCGGGGATGGTGGGGCTGGCGTCCATGGCCGACATGCTGAACAGCCCGCAGCCCAGCCCCATCAGCATGCTGCTGTCCTCCCTAGGGCCCATGTCGCAGAACAGCGCGCTCTACAGCCTCCTGGCCAACCCCATGGCAATGTCCATGCCAAGCGCCATGGCCAGCTCTCTGGGCCTGCCCTCCACCGGCTCCCTGACTCCGCACGGCCGCCTGAGTGGCTCCATGAGGGCGTCCCCAGCAGCCACTCAGACCAGCAGCCTGGGCCTGCCTTCCACCGGCTCCCTGACGCCAAGCAGCCCCCTGGTGGGCCCCCTGTTCACCTCCACGACTGCCCCCCCAGGTGTTTCTCAGAACCTGGCCAACCCCGCGACCAATGTGGAGGCCCCCCGGGTGCGGCTGGCAGAGCCCCCCCAAGGACCCGCCTCTGGACCCCACCCCTCAGCGGGCGCTGCGGGGCCTGCTGCCACCAGCAAAAGTAAGTGGTGCCGGGGGAGGGGCTCCCCGCCAGGCCGGTCCAGTCCGACCTCGCCCTTACCCTCCTCCTCTCCTTTCTGCCCCACCTTGTCACCAGTCCCTCTCTCCACCGAGCACCCCCTGCCGACCCAGGACCCCGAGCCCTTCAGCATGACGTTCGTGGGTGGGCCCATCCAGACCTCCACCCCTGTCGGCGCCGTGGGCACACCGG